CCGGTGAGCTTTCTACCCGGAAAAGCTCACCGGAAGCACTTTTTCATCAAAAACAAGATGGCGGCGCCCAGCAAGCCAGCGGCCCGGTAGGACTTGTTCCACGGACCGGTACCGGTCCGCGGACCGGTGGTTGGGGACCCCTGGAATAGAGAATAGAATAGAGAATGGAATTGAATGGAATAGGAGAGTAAAAAATACCGTGTTTCTCATATAATAAGGCTGGGTCTTTTTTTTTTTTTTTGAGCCCCGAAAAAATGGCTAGGCCGTCTTTTCGGGGGTGACTTAATTCCCCCCCTTGCATCTTCGGGCTGGCGGCGACGGCTTGGATGTTGACCTCGGCGTTGGTGGGGCACTTCGTATCGGGCTCAATGCAGGCAGCACCATATCCGGGTGTGCAACAAAAGTACTTCCTAACGGCAAGCCCCCCCCACCATTCCCCCCATTTCGCATGTTTTAATATAGGCCTTAATTTGAGGGGAGGGGCTTAATTTCATTTCATGCCTATAAAACATGCTGGGCCTTCCTATTGGGGGAGGCCGTATTGTTGGAGAAACAGGGTAGATAGAATAAAATAAAGAGTAAAATATAGAATACAATAGAGAACAAAATGTAGAATAATAACATCCCTTTGTTCAATAATTGGCATACCTTAAGCAAAGCTGGCTGAGGAGCTCTGGGAGTTGAAGTCCAGAAGTCTTAAAGTTGCCAAGGTTGGACACCCCTGCCTTAAAACGAAATTTCGTTGCATACGGCTCTCAAACGGTTACCACTTCCAATATAACCACGACAGAAGAAATAAATGAGTACAAAATTATGCCTATGCCCCACATATATGATCATTATATTATAATTAGCGGCCTGAGCTCACGCAGCCGCTTTGGTTTGAACATTATAATTAGTCCTTGATGTTTCTCCTGCTGTGCTTCGGAATTGCTTGCGTGGCCGATGCTATCTTGGACCGGCTGGGGAAGGGCAGTGGGAAGCCTCCTCTGACTCATGCAGATCCTCCTTCCGTGTCCCCTTGAATTCCACCCCCTGAATCTGTCCATTGAATATCTTTTACAATCACTCTCGGATGGGTCTGGAAGGCTTTTGGCCACTGAGCGTCCATGCTCTTGAGGTGGCCACCAGCTGTTTGTGCCAACGGCAGCCAGGTCAGGTGAGGGCAGAAGGTCACATTATGGGGTGAACCCCAGTGGGTCAAAGGATGGAGGCGCATCTCCCTTTGGGCTCCAAATCAGCCACGGAACCGATTACAAGTAGTCCTTGACTTACAACCAAAATGGAGCCCGAAATTTCTGTTGCTAAGTGAAACATTTGTTCAGAGGGTTTTGCCTCATGTTACGACCTTCCTTGCCACAGTTCTTAAGTGAATCACCAGAGTTGATAAGTGAGTAACCCGGTTGTTAAGCGAATCTGGTTTTCCCCATTGACTTTGCTGGTCAAAAGATCACAAAAGGGGATCACGTGAGCCCGGGACACCGTCATAAATAGGAACCAGTTGCCAAGCATCTGAATTTTGATCCCGTGATGGTGGGGATGCTACAAAAACAACGTAAGTGTGAAAAACGGTCCCAAGTCACATTTTTCAGTGCCATTGTAACTTTGAACAGTCACTAACTGAACTATTGTAAGTCAAGGACTATCTGTAATCCAGGCCAAGCTGTAGGGGAATGGTGGGAGCCACTTTGTGATAGTCCATTTATATACTGTACTAGCTCGATACCCATGCTTTGCTACGAAACTATGTGGTCGGACTTAGTTTTTGGGGAGGAAAATAAGGGGGGGAAATTTGGCCTCTGCCTACCAGCATCCATGGGTATTTATCTGGTTAGCGTCCTGTCAGTGTGTGAGAGAGTTGAGGGCTCTTTGGAAACTGAAAGAGTATTTGCTGTGTGAGTAAGAAGGAGACAGCAAGGAGCCTGGCGTGGCTTAGATGAACTGTTCTGTCCTAAAGCTGCTTGGTGCTGTGAAACTGAAACTCCTCTCCTTTGCTTGTGTTTTGCATTTGGAACAGGTTTCTTTCCAGGTGGGGTGGGGGAGTAGAACTCCTTAGCATCAGAGCGTGTTAATAATAATAATATAGGCAATACTAATGCTCTGATGGTCATTTTAAAAAATCCTTTCTTTGTGAGCATCTAGAAGCCAAGAGGAACCTATGTGCCAGATTTCAAGTTTGTAGGCTTTACGGTTCTGGAGATGCATGAGTGGTCTTTGGCTTTTATATATATATATAAATGCATACATTTATGTTGTATTTCAGTTCTTGTTAGTTGCTCAGGGTCTTACTGGTCAGATGGACCCTATGCACCAATTGAAATAAATCTCTGTCACCTTTAACACCCACCCACCCCTGGAATAAACAGACTGAAATAATTATTTCAGGCTACAATGTCTTGGAGGAATTTTGGCTCAGAACAATTCAGATGTTTGGATCTGTAGGCAGTTCTTTTAAAAATAAAAGCTGGTTCCCTCACCTCCCATCTGTTGATTCTGAATTTAGCCCTTGGGCTCAGTGGGTTGTCACTCTTGACCTCAAGCCAGCCGCTTTCCCTGAGCTCCTCTTTCCTTTGAACTCAACTGGCTCAGACGTGTTGCTTAATGTCAGCTTGGTCACAAAAGAGGGGTGGGGGCAGCCCCTGGCCCTCCCAGCTCATCTTAAGCTGACTCTTGAGTCTGGTTGAGCCTCTGTAGCCACTCACACCGTTGGGCTTTGGAAGAGCTCCAGGACTGCATCTTCCTTTTGTTTATGGAATTCTTCTGGCCCTCCGGCTTTAGAGTCAGGATCAGTCAATCAGAATAGAGCTGGAAGGGACCTCGGAGGTCTTCTAGTTCAAGCAGGAGACCCGATATCCTATTCCAGATAAGTGGCTGCCCACTTAAAACCTCCAGTGTTGAACCACCCACAACTTCTGGTGGCAGCCTGTTTGGTCCCCACTGTTAGGCAGTTTCTCCTTAATTCCAGGTTGCTTCTCTCCTTGGTTAGTTTCCATCCATTGCTTCTTGTCCTTCTGGTGCTTTGGAAAATCAGTTGACCACCTCCTCTTTGTTGTTGTTAGTTGTAAAGTTGTGTCTGACCCATCGCGTCCCCATGGACAACGTTCCTCCAGGCCTTCCTGTCCTCTACCATCCCCTGGAGTCCCTTTAAGCTCACGCCGACTGCTTCCGTGACTCCCTCCAGCCACCTCCTTCTCTCTCGTCCCCTTCTTCTTTTGCCCTCTTAGGCTCTTCTCCAGGGAGTCCTTCTTCCTTCTCATGAGGTGGCCAAAGTCTTTGAGTTTCCTCTTCAGGATCCGGCCTTCTAAAGAGCAGTCAGGGTTGATCTCCTCTTCTCCTCCAGCCCCAGAGTTCAAAGGCCTCCATTCTTCGGCACTCATCCTTCCCTGTGGTCCAACTTTCACAGCCATGCATTGCAACTGGGAAAACCAAAACTCTTTGTGGCACCCTTCAAATATTGGAATACTGCTATTATGTCACCCCGGGTCCTTCTTTTCTCTAGACTAGCCAAACCCAGTTCCTACAACCCTTCTTCATATGCTTCAGTCCCCAGGCCTTTATTCATCTCAGTAGCTCTTCTCTGTACTTTTTCCAAAGTCTCAACACCTTTTTTTTTTTTTTGCAATGTGGTGAAAGTCAGGAAGCTCCTTGGCCAAGAGCGAGCCAGTAAGGCCTGGTCAGTTGGAGGCAGCCTTCTGGCTCCATCCATGGTCACTGAATCCCAGCCAGACTCGCTAGCTAGCTGGGGAAAGGCTGTGTACTACAGGGCACCCAACCAAGCTGGGGAAAAGGATGGGACACAACCACGGTCATAAGTATGAACCAGTTGCCTAGCATCTGAATTTTGTTCCCATGATTCTGGGGATGCTACAAAGGTCGTAAGTGTGAAAAACGGTCATCGGTCACTTTGTTCAGTGCCGTAACCTTGGACGGTCATTAAACAAACGGTTGTAAGTTGAGTATTACCTGTATAAATATTGGTGTCAACTTGTAAAGCATTCCTGCCTTGTTCTCGAGTTGCCATAAGAAGGGGAGGGAGAGATCGGATGGAGCTATGACCAGAAACATACCTTTCTCCAGATTGTGTCCCAGGTTAGCAAGCCCAACTGGAAAGGCATGTTTTCTACACCCCGGGAAAGTGCTTCGGTTGGAGAAAGTGATTTATGACACACCCTGAGAGAGGGGGGGAAACAAGGTCATAGGTGGGCAGTAAATTATGTTGGGCAGAGCTGACTGCACTTAGGAAAAGTGCCGACGTGTTGCTTCTAATAAATAATTGGATTTCTTTGGAAACAGTGCCTTGAGGCTCATGAATTAATTAGGGCGTCCATCGGAACCCTGGCAATCGGTTCCTGGGAAGGAAAATCCTGCTTTTCCCTCGGGTAGAGTTTTCCTTGTGCCTCTTAAGACTCTTTTCCTGAACTTTCCATCTCCCTTCCTCAGTTCTGGGACCAGCTGGATCGTTCCATGGTCTTTCCATTCCTGAGCAGCTCTCTGGACCACAATGGCAGGGAGAACGAGAGAGGCCACCAAGCCCACGCGGACCTTTGGGGACCAAGCCGACCCCCGCGACTGCCCATGGCCCGGAGGTATCGGCCCCGTCTCAGCACACGGCCAGATCGGTCGCCAGCCATTGAAGGGTAAGAAACGAAGGGGCGAGTTCAAGCTCTCCGTGCAGTAGAGACAGACAGCTTGTCAGAGAAAGGGGGGGGGGGATTTCCCTGAGTGAAGGTGAAAACAAGGGTAGCCTCGAAGCCGGAACAGGTAGTCCTCAACTTACAGCTGTTTATTGAGCCCAACGTTTCTGTTACTAAGCGAAACATTTGTGAATTTTGCAACCGTTCGACGGCTTTTCTTGCCACGTTAAGTGAATTGCGGCAGTTGTTAAATTAGTAGCCCGGTTGCTAAGTGAATCCGGCTTGCCCCGTTGACTTTGCTTCCCAGAAGGTCTGTTTTGGAAGGAATGAGCTGGAAGGGACCTTGGAGGTCTTCTCGTCCAGCCCTCAACTCAAGCCAAACGGTCGCAAAAGGGGACCCCGCAACCGTCATAAATGTGAACCAGTTGCCAAGGGATCTGAATTTTGATCACCTGATTACGGGGATGCCGCACGGGGTTGTAAATGTGGGAAACGGTTGGTTTTGCCTGACTTTTGTCCAGAGTCTAATTTGCACTGGAAAGAAAATGGCACACCTTGGACGTTAGGAGGGCCCTCCGTATTTACATCGAACGAACCTCTTCCTTCAGGAAGACTGAATCCCTGTTCGCCTCCTTTCCGTCGTCACCTTTGGGCCGCAGGGGGACAGCTTCCACCGTGGGTCGCTGGCTCAGAGCCTGTATTGCTAAAGCCTATGAGTTACAGGCTCTCCCTGCGCCCAGGAGAATCGCCGCGCACTCAACCGGGAGTGCGGCGACCACTGCAGCCTGGGCAACGCAGGTATCGGTTCTAGACATTTGTCGAGCTGCAACTGGTCGTCTGTGACCCCATTCATAGGACATTATAGGATTGACTCCTTTGCCTCGGCGGAGGCATCCTTTGGAAGGAGAGTCATGCAGGGCAGTTCATGTAGAGGTGGGGAACTCGGACCAGTCCAGTTCCCACCCGCAGGACAGTCAACAGCCAGCTTTGGTATGTCCCATCCTGGATTCTCCCTCAGTTGCGTCAGGCTTTTTCCCATTCAATTAACAAGAATGAACTTCTGAGAACCAAACGTAGCAAAAGGAATCCTTTATTGAGATGAGAGAATTCATGTAGGAGTTCAAAGCAGCGTCTAAGGTCCCTCAGGCATACAGGGATACATAAGGGAGTTTAGAACCCCTCCCCTTATCTTGATGTGCATTTAGTAAAACAAAGAGCCAACATGTTAATTCCCCCCACTCCCTTTTTAGAACGACCTTTTCCAGAGTTTCCCAGGACACATCTCACTGGGGAATTTTTATGGTCTTCTCATCTCCTGGCTGTGCCTCTCAGAAGTGATAGGTTCCGGCCATCTGGGTTTCCTCCCTCCATTGTATCGTGTAGGTTATACAAATTCGATATAAGATTAAATATATTCAGGTTACATCAAGAAAAGATATATCAGTCTCTCCCCCCCCCCCCCTTTCCTTCTGCCACTGAAGAAATGACACTTCGGCTCAGTGGAGAAGGGGCGTTGGTCCTACCTGACGTGCTTCTTCTCAGGGAGTCAAAGGGAGAATCCAGTCCCATCCTGTATTCTCTCTGGTCAGAGTAAATTAAAAAAAATATGGTGGTGTTGTGATTCGAACGGTCACTAAATGAACTGTTGTAAGTCGGGGACTACCTGTAGTTTTCATAATGATCCGACCTGGGCTCTAACAGCCAGCTCAGCATTCATTGTGCATCCGATATTGGCCGTCGCGCCCTTTGCCAAAGGGGAGGGGTGACGCTTCCTGCTTCGCCTAAGGTGAACTTGTTCGGCTGCCAGAAAACGTCGTCGTGGGTATCAGCAGGTGCGCTTCCTCTCGGCCAGGTGGCAACTTCTGCAAGTACAGCTGCTCCTTTCTTACCTGTGACCTTTTCTCTGTTGTTCCCACCCGACAAATCGCCACCATGCTTGGAGCAGAATCATTCAGCAGATCTTCGCTGGCTTCTTTGCAAATTCAGCCGTTCCTGGATCGCCGCCTCCCTCTTTCTCCTGGTGAGTGACGCCTGCTTGGGGTGACGGTTATGTGCCCTTCGGTGCTGCTTGGGTTGAGGCGTTGGGTGACTGTGGGACCCGGATTGGGGGACCTTTTCAAGCCGCTTCTCGGCTCAGACCCTGGGAAGGGGAGGGCTGGGAGCTTCGAGAAGGAAGGGGGCTTGAACCGCATCTCCATCTCCGGGTTTTGGGTCCTGCTCCAGGCCTGGCTTTGCAAAATGGGACAATTCGCCACAGGGTAACTCACTGCGAGACAATTCAACCATTCAATTGTTTAAAACATTTTTTAAAAAAAATACTTTCATTTTTGTCATTCACGTTTCATTTTGTCCCTGGAGCGGTGGGGTGGCCTAGCGGTGGAGCTCTCAGCTCACCATCAGGAGGTTCTGAGTTCGACCCGAGGTCGAGGCAGATATTTCTCTCTCTGGGCACAATGAGAATGTATCTGCTGAACAAAACTCTGCATTGGTGACAGGAAGGGCATCCGGCCAGTAATCCCTCAGCTCCCTTCAGTTGCCCAAAGTCCACCCCGCACAAAGGATTACGGGGTCATTAAATGATGATTTCATTTTGTCCCTCCTTCGGCAGCCTTTCTTTCAGGATTCTGCTCACGATTTTTTCGTTATTACTGTGACTCTTGTCCCGCAGCGAGTTGGCCATGGCGCGTAGTCTTAGATGCGGAAGGGAGGGCTGGAAGCTTGTTGAGGGAAGATGGCTTGAATCTCAGCCAGGCAGTTCCCCTCCTCTTCGTCTCTGGGTCTTTGGTCCTGCCTTTGAACTGGCAAAGCCTCCCCTATTTCACCTCTCCTGCGTCCCAGTTATCCTTGGAGAATTGTGCTGACCATGGCGGCTGACCTCTCTCCCCTGGGACCCAGGAGCTGCTTCTCTCAGTGTCTTTCCCTGACTAGGAGTTGCAGAAAATGACGGCTTGGGGGTAGCCAAGAGGGCTGGAAGTCCTTGTCCACCATGTGGGACTTGTAAGCTGAGGGAGGGAAAGCAGCACTTTCCCCCGGGCCCCCCTCCCTGAGCTCCCTTTTCTTTCCCTCCCTCCAGGGGAGGCATGCAGGGCAGGCTGCATTCTAGCTTTGGGGACTACGCGTGGGACCAGAGTGGCCTCGATGCTGTCTTGACCCAGGTAAAGGCACCGGCCAGCGGGCTCCGGGAGAGGCTGCCCTCCTCCTCTGGCAGGCACACCTATGGGGCACCTGTCCTGACACCTGGGGCTTTGCACCTATGCCATAGTCTCCCTTTGCTTGCCCACGTCCTGTCGACCGGCCCACCTCTCTTGCTGGCCCTTGCAAAAGGGAACCTGCATCATTTGGAGCAGCGCTAAAAGGAGTCTCAAGTCTTGACTCTCGAGCCAAACTTCCAAAACTTAAGGAGGATTTATTGGGAGTTAACATGCCGGCACTGCTTGGGTGTAGCCGACTCTGAGACACATCATTCAGTGTCACCCTTGACCCTGGTTTTCCCCCACCCCCTGGGTGTATCCTAATTCATATTCTCCAATGGGACACATCCATAGCCCAGAGTCATCCATCATGTTCTCCAGTTAGAATTTTGCAAGGCAGAAACTTCGGTCACCTAGTTACTATCTCTGAAAACATTTATGGAATGCAGTTTCGGTTTTGCAAGCTGCCGTACTGCTTCCCCCTCCCTTTCTGCTGGCAACTCTAAAAAGACCCATAGAAATATTTTATGAGTTGACAACTGACACCGACTCGCACTCACAACAAATGGAGCCCCCAATCAGCCAGGCAGGCTAGATTCACACAACATGAGTACATACACACACAGATCCACACACGTAACTCACACAAGATAAAACACACCTAGTTAAGGAGAAACTTAACAAAGCTACGCACGGACTAGTTCATGAGCTGGATAAGTATATTGTGTGAATACAGATACTGAAACAGTTGGCCTGATTGACACTTGACGCTGGCACACAACGTTTATTTCTAATTTGGTATGATATACAGACCCATCTATTTGGGCTTAATATTATTACATGACAATCAAGCCACTCAGGTTGGTAACTAACTGAAACCATTCTGGTTTAACGTTGCCCTTTAAGGCAATCTGTGTTGCCACAGGCTTTTTAGGATCAGATCTTAAAAAGAAGGCTACGGGTCAAATTCCCCTGAAATACAAATAGTCCTCGACTTACGACCACAGTTCAGCCCATAATTGTCTTGAGTGAGGCATTCGTTAAGTGAGTTTTGCCCCCCTTTTATGACTTTTCTTGCCACATTCGTTAAGAGGATCACTTGGAGCTCTTAAATTGGTCGTGCAGTTACTGTTAAGTGAATCTGATTTCTCCTTCGATTTTTGCTTGTCAGAAGGTCCCAAAAGGGGATCACGTGACCCTGGGAACACTGCAACCAACCATAAATATGAGTCAGTTGCCAAGCACGTGACCTTGAGGATGCTGCAGTGGTCGTAAGTGTGAAAAATGGTCGTAAGTCACTTTCAGTGCTGTTGTAACTTTGAACGGTCACTAAGTGGGCTGTGGTAAGTCGAGGACTACCTGTACAGTTTTGATCTGCTGGGAACAACGGCAAGGGGACGTTGGGTCAACCAGAACTAGGCTGAGAGTCTGTCTGGATAATGACCTGGAACAGCTGCCTAGGCCCTCCTAGGATCTTGAGCAATGGGCTGCAACGTTAGAGTCCTACTGAATGTTGAGACCCAAAGATCTGGAAGCTTCTGCCTTCTGAACCAAAGGTGCTTTTCCAAGAGGAAACTGGACTTGTTTTTTCTTTGAAGATGTTTTGCTTCTCATCCAAGAAGCTTCTTCAGCTCTGACTGGATGGTGGGGGGAACGGAAGGGTTGATACTCCTTGCACACAAGCTGGTCATTTGCATCCTTTTAGAGAGACGTTAAGGCCACTTGGAGGTTTGTCTGTGTCCTCAGGGTCACCCGAGTAGTGCAAATGGGTGTGGAAGGACCCATTTATCTGAGGAGAGAGATTTTATCTGAGGACACAGCTGGACATTTGCATCCTTTCAGAGAGCTGTTGAGGCCACTTGGAGGTTTATCTGTGTCCTCAGATAAATCTCTGTTCTCAGATAAATGGGTCCTTCCACACCCATTTGCACTACTCAGGTGACCTGAGGACACAGACAAACCTCCAAGTGGACTCAAGGACCCTCTAAAAAGGATGCAAATGACCATTTGTCTACAAGGAGTATAAATCCTTCCATTCCCCACCATCCAGTCAGAGCTGAAGAAGCTTCCTGGATGAGAAGCGAAATGTTTTCAAAGAAAAACCAGAAAGTCCAGTTGCCTCTTGAAAAAAAAAAAACCTTTGGGACAACCATGACCTGGATGGCTTGAGCATCTCCACAGACCTCCTGCCTTCTGAAGGAGCGTGCATTTTAAGACATCTTTCAGCAGTTGCCTGATTCCCGTGCAGCTGTGCTGGGGGGGTGGGGTGGGGGGCTCTTCTGGCGTAGAGAAGGGTTCTTCCCACCTACTTTGCAACGGTCAGCCCCTCAGCTTTAAGACCTCCTCTCTTGGGTAACCACCACCTCCTCTCTCACCTCTCTTGCAGCTTATGGGACACTTGGAAAATACAGGGCCTCCCCCAGCTGAGAAAGAGAAAATTTCTTCCCTCCCAACTGTGACCGTCACTCAGGAACAAGTGGGTAAGTTCGTGTTTTCGTCACTTTTTATGGACTTCTCCGGAGCCAGTTTGACAAGGCTGCTCTTCCTTTCCTTTCCTTTCCTTTCCTTTCCTTTCCTTTCCTTTCCTTTCCTTTCCTTTCCTTTCCTTTCCTTTCCTTTCCTTTCCCTTTTCCCTTTTCCCTTTTCCCTTTTCCCTTTCTTTTTTGTTTTTCTTTCCTTCCCCTTCCCCTTCCTTCCCCTTCCCCTTTCTTCCTTCCTCCTTTCCTTTCCTTTCCTTTCCTTTCCTTTCCTTCCCTTCCCTTCCCTTCCCTTCCCTTCCCAACAGTCTTTTTCTGGGAAGAGTCTTAAGGGCAATTGCAAGGCTGCATTCCAAAGGAAGTTGGAGCTTAGGTCTCTTTGAAGATAACCAGCTCCACCCAATACCCTGATTAATCGACGATTGCTAAATTTTATCACTCAAGTGTGACAAGTCCAAGCTCTTCGCACTCATCACCTTTCTGAACCTCTTCATCCTTTTCCTTTCTGAATCTTTTTTTTTTCCTTTTGGGATGCTTTTCTGTCTCTCTGCTTTTTCCTGGGACTTACAACCTCAAAGCCACCTCGTTCCTCCAACTCCCACCAACCTCCCTTTCGTCTCTTTAGCAGCTGGCATCCTTTTGGCGCCATCCTTGCTCTGCTGAAATGTCTGGGCACCAGGAACCTCTCTCTTTTCCGGTGTTTTTCCCACCCCCCTGAGCCTGGGAGTAACTCCCTCCCTCTGGCCACTGGCACTAACGTTTCCCTCTCCTGCAGATATGGGTTTGGAGTGCCCCGTGTGCAAAGAAGACTACACTGTGGCGGAGCAGGTCCGGCAACTTCCGTGCAATCACTATTTCCATAGCAGCTGCATTGTGCCATGGCTGGAACTGGTGAGTCTCGGCTCAGGCAGATGGGGGTACGGAGGGGGCGTTATCCCTGGCTTTGGGGCAGGAAATCTCTGGCGCCACCACAGCAAGTAGCAATAGCACTTCTATAGTGCTTTACAGC